AGGAGAGCGATATCATTTCGATGGAATCCTGACGCACAAAAAAAGCAACGGATTCAACAGGAAATAAAAATTGGCGGTAAATTATTAAATACACACGCAAAAAAATAAAAACAGTACAGACTGGCCCAAAAAAACAAATGCTCAAGACGGCGTAAGTTAACATGCTACGTTGATGGAATATATGTATGAATTTAGGAGATAAGATCTTGCTAGAAGCGGGTGCTCATCAAATACACGGGGTAAAGTTATTGTGAAAATATAGCGCCATAGTTAATAAGTCCACACGTGCTCTGCAAACGAAATTTCCCGCACAATTCTGTAACAGAAGTACGATGGTTAAAGGCTGCTTTTTCTCCTATAAACTAAGTCGGTGCAATGAGTCAACGTTTACTGGCGGTAAGCAGGAGGGATGGAAGCTGTTAACTTTTTGACGTTAGTGTTATGTACCGAAACAACAAAACCTAATTAAGGGGAACCTGTTAAAGATAAGAAACATTAAACGGCACAAATTTATTTTTTTTGTGTAGTCCCCATTTCTCTGATCCTGGGGCAATGAGCAATTAAGGGGACCAAAGGTGATCGAAATGCGTCCACGGGTAAGAAAGATGAAAAGACTATTTTTTTTTGTCTAAAGAACCGAGTGAAAAATGTTTTTTCGTGACGTGCGTTATCTCTACTTTTAAGTATTGTGACAAATCCAAATTTTTTTCATTTTTTACTGATCTTTTAACTTGTTTATTTGTATAGTCCCCATTTCTCCGGTCCTGGGGCAATGAACAATTAAGAGGACCTAAGGTGATCGAAATTTGTCAATGGATAAGAAACTATTTTAAGGTAAGCTATAAGTCGCTATGTTCTTAACTTTTATTTTTCTGTTCTACATTGTCCCTACCGGATAATCTTTGGTGAACAACGGAGCAAATTTTAACTTGGTCCCCACATTGTCCGAAGACAATATTTTAGTCGTGCAGTGTAACTGATTGCTGTGATTATCATGATCAATTTATGTGATGAAATGAAAGCACCATGTCTTTTCCACGGGAAGAATTGAACCTAGTTTGAGGGAATTTATTTAGCTGGTCGTTTCGAATTGAACGGTTGACTAAGAAATTAGGGTAAAATTGCGAAGAGAAAGCGGCTTTCTTTTTTTCTTGCGACGGTCCCCATAATTTTTCACTACATGATAACAAAATGTCTGCACATGAGGCATGAGCAGTTTGGTGATAGGACAGAAACTTAATGAGAACAACTTAATGTTTCTTTGGGTCAGTTATTTATTGGAAGAGGCTATATCGGGTGAAATAATAAACAAAATGCTCGGTGAGCAAAGGCTGCTTATGCTGTCTACTAAGTCAGTGCAATGAGTAAACGTTTACTGGCGGGTAGCAGAGGGATACAAGTTGTTAACGTTTTGACTTCAGTGTAATGTATCGAAAAACAAAAACCCTAATTAAGGGGACCCACGGAGTGGTGAGTGAATCTGTTCAAGATAGGAAACATTAGACGGCATAAATTTATTTTTTTTGTAGTTCCCATTGCTCCGGTCTTGGGGTAACGAACAATTTAGGGGACCAAAGGTGATCGAAATTTGTCAAAGGATAAGAAAGATGAAAAGACTATTTTTTGTCTAAAGAACCGAGTGAAAATGTTTTTTCGTGACGTGCGTTATCTCTACTTCTAAGTGTTGTGATAAATCCAAATGTTTTGCATTTTTTTACTGATCTGTTAATGAAACATAAGCCCAACTGCCAGTATGATAAGCATAGCAAGTTCCATGAGACTTCAGTTGCATCTGGAGTATAAGCGGAGCCAAAATGTAACTATTTTAAAGGTAAGCTATAAGTCATCGTTATGTTCTTCACCTTTCACTTTTCTGTTCTGTTCTGTTGGGTGACATCGGACCAAATTTTAACATGGTCCTCACATTGTCCAAAGACAAAATTCTCAGTCGTGCAGTGTTACTGATTGCTGCGATTATCATGATTAATTTATGTGTTGAAGTGAAAGTACCGAGCCTTTTCAACGGAAAAATTGAACTTAGTCTAAAGGATTTAATCTAGTCGCTCGTTTCGATCAGTCGATTTAGAAATTCAGATAAATTGCGAAGAGAGGGCACCTTTTTTCCTTGCGAAGGTCCCCATAAAATCTGGTGCATGATTGTGACGAGTCTGTACATAAGGCGTGAGCAGTTTAACGATAGAAAAGGGCAGAAGCTTAATGAGAACAATTTATTGTTTCTTTTGGTAAGATGTCTATTGGAAGAGGCTATGTCGACTCATAAAATCGGGTGAAATGATAATTAAAATGCACGGATGTGTTTTCTCGTCATTTAGAGGTCCCCACATGGTGGGTTATATCCATGGCAAAATATTTAATTAATTGCGAAAATAGTATGACCAAATAGACTTGACGATGTTTCCAAACCATGGACTTGAGAGGTAAAACTTCGCTGAGGGGAGCGAAGAAAGTTCCATGAAATTGTGTGGCAGAAAGACAACAACAGATTCGACATTAAAAATTGGCGGGTAATAATTAATAACACACGCAAAAAAATAAAACAGTGCAAAGTGGCTCAAGAACACAAAATTGCTCAAGACGGCGTAAGTTAAATTGTTTCATTAATAGGATTTACGTATGAATTTAGGCGATGAAATCTTGCTGGAAACTGGTGCTAATCAAATACAAGGGGTAACTTTTTTCGTAGAGATACAGCGCCATAGTAAGAGTCTCCATGTGCTCTGCAAACAAAATTTCCCGCGCAATCCTGTAATCTATTACTGTGCTGATTACTTTATGTGATGAAGTACAACTGCATATCGAGCCTTTTAATGGAGAAACCTGGACGTTATTTATCAGAACTTACTTTAAAAATAATTTACCGTGTTGGTTTTTAGCTGAAAATCTACTTCAAATTCCGGGGATTTGTTAAAAAAAAAAAAACGAATTTTTTTTCTTGTGCGGGAATGGCCATATTATTTAGTATGAGTTCATAACATGTTTGCGCGGTCTTTAGTTGCTAATATTCTCTGTGCTGCAATATGGCCCTCAAGATAATTTTTTGCGATGATAGCGACCTAAGGTTCCCACACGGTCTGTACACAAAATCGTTTGTCATGCTGTTACTGGTTGTTCGTTGTTGTTATTGTCATGATGAAATTATAGGATAAATTTGAAGCTATCGAATTCTTTTTTTTTAAATAATGAACTTAATTTAACAGAATTTGCCGTACAGAAAGTTACTTAGTTGGTCGAGTAAGAAATTTGGGTAAAATTGAGACGAAAAGACGGATTTATCTATTTGAGAAGGTCCCCGTTCTTAATCACTGATCACTCGGCGAAAAGTGTAAATACGATGATCACAATGTTTACCAAATATAAATTTAAGGGTTAAAACTTTGCTAAGGAGAGCGAGAGCATTTCGATGGAATCGTGTGGGGGAAAGTGACCAAGAAATTTGACAGGGAATAAATTGGCGGGAAATTAATGAGGGGCCAAAAATTGATCTGTACAAATCGGCCCGAGGACGCAAAATTTCTCAAGACGGCGTAAGTAAAACGTTCCTTTGATGTGATTTATTTGTGAATTAAGTTAATGAAGCCTTGCTGGAAAACGGGCGCCAATCGGGGTAATCTTTTTGTGGATATAGCGCCATAGTAATTCACAGAGTCCCCTCATAATCTAAAAATAAAATTACCCGCGTTATCTTATCACCTTTTACTATGATTATGAATTTATGCGATGAAGTGCAGCTTTGTAGAACACTGAAGTTTATTTTAAAAATTTGTCTGTTGTGTTCGAGTGAAAAAAGGGCTCAAACAACTTGCCATCTTTTAGGAAAAGCAAAGGAACGGTAAATTCATTGGACAAATGTTTGCTACTTTTTTTTTTTTTATTGGAAAAATTTACAAAATGTACGTGAATAGGGCGTTTGTTGTCTTTTTGCCCGGCCCGCGAGAAAAGAAACGTCTGCTGCTATTTGCTAAGGGAAGGTCAGAATCATGCGGATCACAGTAGAGATTTTGTCACTACCGGGAAAGATTCATGAAACTGTTGCAACATTTCCATATATGATTTTAAAGTTGGCGTAAGCCCGTTTTTGGGGATTTTTGGAGGAAAAGGGCGGACTTTTCACATTTAAGAAATCAAAAGAATGCGTCCTTCGGAATACTCCACAGCTTAAAAAATGGTGTAAATTTATTGATCTTAAAAATTTTGTGGTTATGTATTTTTTATCAGTTTGTTTATTTATTTGGTAGCAGTCCTTTACAACAAAGAATGACCGAGGGAGGTACATCGGTTTTGTCAGACTCTCAGATCCCCAACTGAAGGCAATTCAATGTACTTTACAGCTACCCCGCATATAGGTGACATGGAACTGCAACAAAACTCCTTCTTCCTCTTAGTCCAAGATCATTAGACTACAATCCCTTTCAGACTCTATTTTATGCTAAACTTCCTCGTACATCTTATTGTGTCCAGGGAAAAACTGTTCGACTAAAATCGTAGCCAAAGGTAATATGTGTGACACAGATAGAGCAAACAAAAGAGAACAATACCAAAAAACAATATTATTAGAATGGTTTAGACGAAGAGGGTCAGCTTTATAGGGGCTAGCTCGAGAACCTAACTGTTCTATCTCTAACCCTTTAACTCCCAGAAGTGATCAACATGAAATTTCTCCCGACAATGTCCTTATATTATCTTGCAAACAGCTCATGAGAATATTCAAACTTATCAGGTAGAAGTTGTTGTCCTGATCTAACACCAAATTCTCACAACTGATTTGCAAGGATATGTGTAGCAGCTAGAAGGGAGAATTACCAATCAGATCTTGGGAGTTAAGGGGTTAAGGCTAAGAGTGATTAACTCATTTACAGCTACTTACTCATTTCGATAATATATATGGCTTTGCCTCCCACAGGAGGAAGTAGCCACAAAAAGGGAAGCAAAATGATCAACGGATTTGGTATAATTTTGTTTTAAGGGTGAGGTGTGTTCCAACAGAGAAGTTTTCAAAGGGTGATCTCCCTCTTCAATATAAAGGGGAACTTGTCTCAGAGGATGAAGGTTATCAAAGAGAAGATTTGCATGTGGAAGAACTAAGAAGCTTTCTCTTCTTTTTTAAGGATGGATTCAAGTGTTTACGGTAAGTTATTTTAATTATAATACAGTAAAACGTCACTAACCGTAAGCGCTAAGTTAAACAAAAAATATTTTAAGGTAGTGGGGGAGGCTGTCCTAAGACTACTGTACACAAATCGACCTGAATGAATTCAAATAGGCTTCATGAGATTGTTAATCACTAATACTGAAATACATACTATTTTGTGTGTAATGTGCTTCATGATTTGTCATCATTTACTCCAAATGAAATAAAATTACCATCAACATATATGGTACTTTTTTTGCACTTTTTTGGCTTTATCATGAGTTGCATTTAAGTTTCATTGTAAATAAAGTAGTTGTGTAATTTTAGATGGGCTTGGTCTGCGCCACACAACCGAAGGAAGAACTGAAACTAAGTCATCAAACCTTACACTACACTTTTACAAGGAACAAATTGAGACTGCTCTTTTCCAATTATAACTTTGATTTTTGTGGATTTTCTAGCCTTGATGCAACATTCTCTGCTGGACTTGGAAGACTAAAAAACGATAATCCATTAAATAAAGCAAATGAGAAAGATTAACGGTGAAGACAAAGTGTGCCTTGCCCTTTGTGGACTTCGGAACGGTGAAGGTCTACACTGTGACCATGAAGTTAGAGATCTTCCCTGGCGAAAGCTAAAAGGTATTGCAACCTAACCATTAATAACTTGTTTTGGGAGACTTGTGTCATACTTAACAGAACTGCAGCAACTCTTTTCTTTGCTTGTGTTTCAGTGTAATGGACCCCATGAGCTATCAGGGTGTTTGCCCCATCTCTTCTAAAGATAATTTCGTTTTTTTTTTTTCTTGTTTTGTTTTGTTTTGTTTTGTTTTTTTTTAGGGGAACATTCATAGCCCTTAGGATAAAAAAATATAACATTTAATTCTCAATTCCAGAATTAGATTTACTCAAATGCAAACCGTTTCAGTCCTGTTATGATTACGTATATTAATCTCTCTTAACATGAATATTGCAAATACCATACAATCTGTCTAGATATCATGACAACTCATACCGTCCTTGGTCAAAACAATCTAAAAGTTATTTTTTTTTTAATAATACTTCAAATGATGACGACAATGATTATGATGATGGCTCCAATCATTCATTCCTGGTTTCACACAAATTAGCAAAACTCTACACATTTCTTTTTCTTAACCACTTAGGTAATGAGAGCAAGGCAGATGGACTAAAGAATGGGACAGTAAGGTGCAACACAAAAAAGAAGAAAATATGAACAAGGGCAACAGCAGTCCTGACAATGATGAAAGTTTCCACATAGATGTAACAACAAATTCTGAAGAGATTTACTCCCTGAATCAGATCAATGACTGTCTATTTACAGACTCCTTGGAAACTGGTATGTACATACACACACCCTCTATTATATAAACTGCAGATGTCCTTTACACTCTGAGCCCATCAATTCTTAGGGCTCTTTGGAAAATGAAAGATATTTTTTGATGTTACAGAAATAGTTTTCCAATATTAAATCCCCACTGAGTTTTTTGTAAGTGGCTTTTGCCATTTCAAATGTCTTCATAAATATCATTATACATTCTCTTCCAACGTCAAAGGTAAGTTGCAACCAAACAAAAGCCTTAAAAATCATAAAAACAATGAACTATTACTACCACGGCTAAAAGTAAAACAGTGGTGTAAGAAAAGTGCAAGAAAAGGGGAGGAGGAAAAGCAAAAGGTGTAAGACTGCTTTTTGTGCATAACCAAACTGCGGAAGCTTATGATTTGCATCTGAAAGAACAGTATCTATAAACGGTGTTTTGGACAATTTCGCTCTTCAGACCCTCAAAGTGACTAAAAGAAACGGTTTGAATAGCTTCGAAAGACATTCTCAGACAAAACTCCCAGGAACTAATGCGTCAAAAGATGGTGGTTTTGACATAGAAGAGTTGAAGTTATTAAATGAAGTTTGGCTCTACTAAGAAATAATGATTATCACAAAACAAGAAAAAAACTGTTACATTCCTTTTTCTTAACCATGTAGTTAATGAAGGTAAGATGCCAGTAAAAGATGGCAAAGTTGAGAGTAAGGTGCAACGCAACAAAGAACAAAATATGAACGAGAGCAACAACATGGCTGATGTTGATGAACAATTCCAGATAAATATCATAACAACTAAGGATGTTTCCTCCATGAATCAGAATAACTAAATATCTGCAGACTCCTTGCAGCAATTTCACGAGTGGAAACTTGGGTTGTGTGATAAGGAATGCTGGGTAAACGATGAAGCGAATTACAAAGCAATCGAATAATTAGAATCTCTGCCTTTCAATTTGGCTTAATTTAAAGATAGTCACTAAATTTATATTGATAGCCACATATAAAGCAATTACCTGACATATTTTGAAGGAAAAGGAACTTGTTATGCTGAAATAAGCGACCACTTGCCACACAGGTCTATCAGAGAGTATCATTTTACGAAATGGCATTGTAAGGGAGATACAAACTGGAAAGAAACATCTAACAAGTACAATAACACAATTAGAGATCAATCCTTAACTACTCAGATTTATTTTATTGACTGGTTGGATTGTTTTAATTTGGAGTGATTTTTGTCTGGCCCGTATCTTGAACAATATGATCATCTCTTAATCTGGCCATTCAGTTCCACAGTAGTTGTCCTTGCTCAACCAACGTTGCCATTTTGTATAACTGCTTCAGTAAAATTTCCACAGACAGGTCATGTTCAACTCTCACTTACTTACACTTTTGTATACTGAACTGATCATGCTCCCTTATTGCAAAGAATTTCTGTAAGGGGGGGTTTCCAAATCCTTTTTCGGGTTGAGTTGTTCAAAGCTAGGTTTAGATAATCCAGGCTTAGTGTGAAATCTGGTTCCAGATCTGAAAGCTTTAAATGAAAATTCAATACAATTCTTTTTGTCTCCAATTTAAAAATTGGATGCTATGAAAAGAAAAGAGAAGATAATCCAAAAAAGGCTTTTGAAAGAAGGAACAAAGAAGCTTGGATAAAAATTTGACCCTGGGTTAATGCTTATTGGCCTTTGAACAACTGGGCCTAGGAATCTCTCATCAACTTCTTTTTTTTTCCCACTGGGGCATATATATTTATAATGCTTTCCTAACTTAGAAGTTTCAAGTTATAGTAATTAAGCTTTTTTTATTTGTTCCAGTCTTGCCATAAACAAGACTTTCAGCATAACTCACTATTTTTCCTCTTGAATTCAAAGGGGAAAGAAATCTACATCTCCAGTTCCTTCTTCTTACAACGGTGGAATAATGCATCGCAGAGCAATGCACCTGAAAAAGTCCTTCATTCTGTGTCAGGTAATAATGATTATTATGATAATAATACTTTTAAACATGCTTATAACATAGCATGCTTGCCCTATCTTAGTCCAAACCTTATTTAAGTCGTATTTTCATCTCCTACTTCAACAAAGTCTCCAGTTATCAAGGAAAATGTCATGAAAATTCTGGAATTGAGCTTCTTTAAGACACTCAAACTGACTGACCTAAAACATTGCCTGACAACAACAATGAAACCAGGAAGGGTAGATCTAACTGGTGGCTAAATCTGTGGAATGATAATATTATGATTGCAAAAATGTACTATAATATTAAAGAGTCTCATGCTGTTGCATCGATACTTTTTTGGTTTTTCCTTTTTTTTTGGTTCTTTATTTTTTTTTACCTATTTTAGCTTTCTAATTTCTAAATTAAATCCGGAAAGTCATTCTTTTTAGCCTTGCCCCCTTCTCCTTGGTATTTTCATCAACCCTGACTGGGTAACACATTGCACATCCTGATGTCATGATATCACAATTACAGCAAAGACAGTGAGAACATTTTATGAAGTCTTCAAAATGTTCAGCATAATGACGTGTTTTTCTGATGCTAATAATGCCTTTTTGGGCCATTAAAAAGAAAATATTTCTGTTTCATTTTTTATATTTTAATACCTTGGGGGAATTTCTATAATTTGAGTTTGTAAAATATTGTTTGAGTAAACGTAATTTATGTTTTAATTATCATATTTTTAAAACAGATCAGACATAGTTGAGATTCGTAGTAAGTGGGGCAGGACTGTAACAGTAATTTTGACACCTGAGGTGAAAAACAGCATCGACCTCCTCAACAAGACAAGGAAAGCCGTGGGTATTCCAGATGAAAATCCATTTAATAGTTGCTAGGTCAAATAGACAGTCAAATTTGCTATGGAAGGCGGCCCACCTCTGTCAAACCTTACAGAGATAGCCAGTACCAAACTCAGAAAGTATATGGCAACCATTTCCCAAGTAGTCTCTCTCAAAGGAACAGAGGTATACCGACTAAGCAAGACACCTTGGTCATGAAATCCAAGTGCATGGAGACTTCTACTGTCTTCACGAATCAGCAGTTGAAATTTCCAAAGTGAGCAAGCTTCTTCTTACAGTCGGTCAAGGTGAAACAAGAAAGTTCACAAGGAAAACACTGGCGGAAAATGACTGAAATGGTGAGTACAAGATTGTAGGTGGTTTCAATTTCATAACTAATTTCTCTTGTTCTTCTGTCTATATTGTTCTTGAGAGCCATAAACTACACATTTTTTTGTTCTTCACAAACACGTTTAAGGCGCTAACTATGTTAAAAAAGAGAGAGGAAAGATCGGTCACTTACCAAGTTGAACTACACTAGGAAGTGATCCTAGACCGTTTCATGCTTAGCTGCCAACCTCGTCCCAGGGTACATCGGTCACTTTTTCAAAGTGGCGGCCACGCGTTCGTAGATTCCCGTGCATGAGGGGATATGCATGCTAAAACAATTACTTATGGGGACTACCAGCCTTACTTATGGGGACATTCTAAAACAACTAGTTATGGGAATTACTTGCCATTCTTAAAGAGCTTATGACACGAATTTTTTTGCGTAAATATTTAGCTTATCATATGTACAAACCAATTCCGATTGAAGAATAGTCCCAGACTTAAAACTCGGTTTTTTCGGGCCCTAAAGTGCTTTTTGTCTTAAAAGTGTTCCGTGGACTGGTAACGAATTAGCGGCTGATGACGTAGAAAACTGTGAAAACTCTCAGTCTACACCAAAATACCTTTCACATCTCTTGCAATTTTGTATAAGTCAGCGCTGAAATAATTTTGAAATAACGACCGATAGCGATGTCTACCTACCTTAAGTAAGCTCTACCGAGAGTTGTAATACATCGTACTCAAGTTATAAAGAAGAAATGAAAGTTGCGAGTACGGTTCAGCCCTAAGAAGGAGAACCGCGCTGCATCAAACGAAGATTTATACGAAGACTGACAAAGGCGGTTTCCCGCTTGCATTGTTTAGGTCAAGATTAGAACAAAATTCCCGTTACTGGATGTCTAGTTTGCTGCGCTTGTGTTTTGTGGATAGCTCTGTTCGTTTCTGTTGCAATAGCATTGTTAGTGAGTGTTTCCATCCGACAGATGCCAGTAGGTAATTTATGACCGGCCCGGTAACAAGAGAGCCTACGCCACCTCCACATGATGCAATCCCATTGGCAAGCGCCTTCTATTAAAGTATTCACCCAGGAGAACGATAGACGACACATAGGAGAAACTAGAACCCACTCCCCATACAAGTCCGTAGGTCACATACATTTTATGAGCTTCTTGTATGAAGGAGGTCAGGAACAACCCTGGGACGGATAGTAGCGCACCAGCAAAGGACACAACACGGCATCCAAGACGATCACACAATGCACTTGATATAAGACCCAAAAAAATTAGAACCCATGGCCATGGCGCCAATCCACGCTGTGAAAAGAAATCAATAATATGATCTCCATGTATAAAGAAACATGTCATTCTTTTTGTCACGGGCGTGAAGCAGAGGCAAATTTTTTAAATGCGGCAACGACTGTTTTACATCCGTTTCATGACCAATATTATTAGGTTCCTCTCGGTCAGTGCTCTAGTGTTTCGTTGCTGTAGAGAAATTCCCTTGGTAAACCAAAAGCTAACTTTTGAAGAAAGAATCAGTTGTATCACGAGGCACGATGATTTTCCACCGAAGAGTAATCGAGCAGTTCTACTGCAAGTTGCTCCTTCTCCCATAGATTGCAAAGGCAGAAGCCATGGTCACGGTCGTCGAGCCGGTCAAACCGAAAGGAAAACGAGTGAGTTTATAGTCATCTGATTCAAGTTAATCTCATATAGGCATTTTAATAGAAAAAAAACCTTATTTAGTTTAAGTACAGCATTGCCATATGACCCATTCCGCACAAAGGAAATAACGGACATCAGTATTATTAATGAATATTTCGTACGCATCGACTTTCATTTATTTATATCGTTGCGGTGCTGTTATCCCAATGAAATTGCTAATATTGCTACTTTTGGTTTCTTGAAGGTAGGGGGGAATTGATAGCTCGTGAGATGGATTTTCGGAAACCTAGGTTAGGAGAATACACGGCCCCTTTAAGCTTGTTTTTATGCCATTATCCGTCAGAGGTTGCACACTGTTCACGCAACAGGATATCGGTCAGCTCAGGAAAGGGCTTGAACTTCATTACAATTGATGTAAATCTTTTATCAAAATACGATGGAAGCTACAGTTGGTATGATATTCATACGATAAGAAAAGCGCAAATGTAGTCATGTGGAAAGACAAAAAGTGTGAGTACATCTCAAGCGCGTGAAATAAACATCAAGAAGGAGCTCACCATTTTTCATTTGCGAAATGTCAGCCGGAAAGAATGTTGAACAATCGTGTATAGTGTGGAAACAGGGCCCTTAATCAGCATTCGTTTTAGCTGAATTCATCGGTTATCTTACCCTGATTTGTGGTATGTGTTCGCAACAGGCGTCTTCGAAGCCGGTACGGAGAATAAGGCCGACGACATTAAAGAGTAGAATCTCCTCGATGTCGACGATCGAAAGCGTCCATTTTGGCCATACAGCTACATCATTTGGAAAGTCGTGTATATAATTGCCCGGTTTATGTGTATTATTCTTGTAGCGAACATCATTGGGCGCTCCAGCCACGCACTATGTTCGTCCTCTCTATTATATTTCTCCTTTCTCCACCATAATTGCTTACGCGTCTTCACAGTTTTCTACGTCACAGCTATATAACATGATTTTGGCCGCTCGCTTAGTGGCGACACTTTTTGGCCGCCAAATCGTACTTCCAATGGACAAAAAAATTGGTCAAGGAGAACTCGCTAAGCGCTATGGTTAATGATCTCTAATTTTAAATACAGCTATCAACCAGAAAAAATGCAAAATAAAAAATTTCAAAATTTCGGGTCATAGGCACTTTAAAGGGAAAAGCTCTACATAGCTACTAATGTGGACTACTTGCCGTACTTATGGTGACATGCTAACACACAACTACTTATGGGGACTACTTTCCATTCTTGTGGCGACATGCTAATACACAGTTACTTACGGGGACTACTTGCAAAGAAATTAAACCTCCCCCTTCCCCCCTCCCCCCCCCGAAAAACGCAGCAGTCACATGGACATAGAAAATGTGGACCGGGAATGTCAAAGTCAAAGAGTAAGTAGAGAAAATGTTATAATTATAAGAGGAGTAAGTTTTAGCTGAAAGCTTACTTGTTATGCTTATTTTGATTTTCTTTACAGAGTAAGATGCCCATGTTTTATGTACAGAAGAAGAGAAGGAGGCAGTTTTTTAAGCACCCTAGTTCATTTGTCAGAGAAAGACGCTTTACGGGAAAATTGGACTGTAAGAACTGTATTTTAAAAGCAAATGGTGCATTAGATGGTAGGGACTGGCATGCTGTTAAATATTTTGTTAAGAATCATATTGACATTGGAGAAAGAGGGTTCTTGCCGCTAAAAATGGCTAAGTGAACTGATCTTTCCCCACCCTTAATGGCAACCCTTAATACCTTGCTAAAATTCAACCTCAATAGCTGCAAGGACAACAAAAAACAGTAATTCATGATAATTAAGGGGTATTTTGCTGTTTCCAAACATCTCCAATATTTAAAAAAAAAAACTTACCGTCACAGTTTGCGTGGATACCCTGTGATTCAACGACAAATAGAATATGTTAAATTCTACCATAAATTTTTGGATATAGGCCAATCCCAAAATACCCCCAAAGTGTAAGCCACCAATCCTCCATTAAATTGGCTTTTTCAAGTGTAAAATGATATAAACTGTAGTATTGACATCAAAACTTTTAAAAGTCTTAGAATCAATATGTTATCCACTTGTAATTCCAACTCAAAATTTTATAATTGGACAAAATTTAAAAATAAGCTACCTTAAAAATAGGATTTTAGGGTTGTGTCCAGAATTTTTACATTATTTCGACTTTCTCAAATTCAGTCATTGATAACTATGGAGGTAGATTTCAGTATTACACAAACTAAGAGCGCTCTATTTAGCTCTTGATTGGAGTATTAAGATATAACCAATTGAAAGGGTTTGGCATCACATATTTAACTTTGTCAAACAATGACGTTATTAAGAAAACTAAACTTTTAGAATTGTATTTTAAAAAGCAAATGGTGCATTTAGTGCAACACTTGCTTTTAAAATACAAACAACTTAAGGACCGGCATGCTGTTTAATACTTTTTGAAAAATCAGATTGACAAGAAAAAGCAGGTTCTTGCCCCTAAGTATAACTAATAGAATCGTTCTGTTTTTGTTATCTCAAAGTATAACTAATCCTGTGCAGGGTAACCTACTGTTTTGCCAAACTCTTCCAATCTCAGGGCTGTCACAAAGATCTCAAGTTTCTGGGTAACTACAGAAAGAAGGCAGGAAATTAAGCAGCTAGGGATTTCCTTTTTGGTTCTATTTTTATTCTATCCTCTATGAAACTCCCTGGTCCCCTGCCCGTAATGACTACCCTGTTACCTTGCTAAAATTTCACCCCAAGAGCTGCAAGGACAACAAAATACAACTGAGATAATTAGTATATTCGTTATGATGTTGGACATAATTGCTAACATTAAGATAGTTAAGGGGTGTTTTGCTTTGCATTTCCCAATATTTAAAAATATTACTAATAGTCAAAGTTTGTGTGGGTCTCCTGTTTGAAGGGCAAATAGTATGTTCCAGTTGCCTCAAATTTTCTTC